TCATTACTGCTGTTGCTTACAATGTAAAGAAAATGATAACCCATATACAGTTCGTTGGTTCTCTATTCAAGCTTGTTCTTCAACACAAAAACTGTCTAAACATTCATGTTCCTGATTATTAAGGGAATAGGCAATTCTTTGTCCAGCTCCTTTTCCTAGGTAGATCTTGGAGGTTTGGAAAGTCCAGGCAGGAGAGGAAGGTGTCAGAGACAGTACAAAAGATGGGTTTTATTCCAATACAGGGTACCACTTTGGCAGAAAACAAAACATATTCTAAAATGAATGTGGGCTTTTGGATTTCCAAAAAAAAAAACACTGGAAGTGTTGATCAGTGGGTTGTGCTTCTGATTCCTTGTCCATTTACAGAGTGGCAGATTTGCAACAGTGTACCTGCGTGTGGCTAGATGTCCCAAAGAAAGCCTGTTCTCATAAATGAGTTTACTCAATAATCTTTTATTGAGTATATAATTTGTACCAAGTAGTACACTGTGCACCAGGAATTTAAAGATACGTAAAGCAGACCTCCTGCTTTCAAGGAACTGTTGGGTGTGAGATCCTGATAACTATCAGGTAATGTAAGTCCTACGCAAGCTGTGTGAGTATGATGCTCCACGAACCCAGAGGAGAAAGGGTGAGATGACTCCATCCAAGGGCTGTTACGGCATTTGAGTTGGGTCGTAAAGATGAAATTTGGAGCATTGGGATAGCAGGGAGAAGATGGGATTGGTGAAAAAGCGGGGAATTCGGTAAAGCAAGAGAAATGAAAACATAGTACATAGTTTAGAAGAGTAGGTTATGTAAAGTAATTGGAGCAATGAGCAGTTGGTGGGGAAAGAAGATAGATCTTTAACAGACTATGTTTCCTGTGTATTTTTCAGACTAAAACACCTAAAAGAGCATCTTACTTATTTTTGTCAGATTATTTAAGTTTAGGGAGGATGTTATTGAGGAGAATGTGGTCAAAACTTCTGGATGTATCACTGAATGGGCATATTTGTAGGTCAACAGATAGAACAATGTATCTATACACCGTGTGTGTGTGTGTGTGTGTGTGTGTGTGTGTGTGTGTGTTATAAACAGTCCTTTCTAGTTCAGTGTGTGTGACCTGAATTATATTATAGTTCCAATTCTGACTCTGCCCAAATATGTTTCGGCTTAAGTTCTCAAACTTTCTGAAATGTAACTAGGTGGTCTTTAGTATTTCTTTTGGCTGTAATCTTCTTTAGGGTGACCATACAATTCTGTTGTTCAAAGCAAAATATAAGGAGTCAGACTGTCTTGGGTTCGAATCTTAGCTCTAATACTTACTAGCTGTGTAAGGTTTTTCATTTTGTTATAATACAGGGTATACTCTAATCCTGATTCCTCTTGCATAAAATTGAAGTGATTTATAAAATTTAATATAATTTAATAATAATTTAAAAATAGTGCCTACCTCACAAAACTGCCTTCAGATTAAATGTAAAATGCTTACTTAGCCCATTTTCTGTCATGTAATGAGGTGCTTAACAGATGCTACTGATTAGTATTATACTATATTGATTAGTAAAATAGCAATGTCCACTCAATTTCTTAGCCTTTGAATGTAGAAAATCAGCCTTTGTATTAACATTATTCATCTTGACCTTGGGCAGTGACTTCTAATCCTTGAATTTTAGTTCTAGCTTTTCTAGGACTTAATGGTTTCTCTTCTAGTACTCCCCTAAGGCCTGATTTATTTTTAGAAAACTAATTAGACCCATTTCTTAAGGTAACTCTTCCTTGACTGCCAAACTTGATTTAGTTTATTCATAGTTCTGAGTAAGAAATGCCACCACTATTCAGCCCAGTCACAGGGAATTGACACTGACTGGGCTATCACTGTAGAAATAGGAGATAAGGGGTAAGGTAAGCAGGCTGGATATGTAAAGACCTGGGTGGCCACAGAAAAAAAGATGGCACTCTATTATTATTGCATAAACATAGGCAATAAGAATCAGAAAGCTCCTTAGAAGTTTCTACTCTAGTACTCAGAAAATCCCTCCCATCAAGAAGTGAGTCCAGTTTTCCACCTCTTGAATCTAGACTGGTCTTATAATTTGCCTTTGTGGCCTAACTGACATAAGGAAAGTTCTGAGCCTGGGACTGAAGAGGACTGTGCACCTCATTCCTCTGTCTTGGAAGAGAGAAGGCCTGCCATGTGAGCAAGCCAATTCTAGCTTATCGAAAGGTAAGAGATACATGGAGAGAGGTTTCACTTCATCGCAGCCTTCCCACCTGAAATCATCATAAACAAGCCAGCCCCTATCAGTTCAGCAGCTCTTCCCAAATGGAACATACCTCAATATCATAAAAGCCGTCTACAAGAAGCCCACAGCGAGTATCATTCTCAATGAGGAAAAACTGAGAGCTTCCCTCCTAAGGTCAGGAACACGGAAAGGATGTCCACTATCACCACTGTCGTTCAATGTAGTACTAGGAGTCCTAGCCTTAGCAATAAGACAACAAAAAGAAATAAAAGGCATCTGAATCGTCAAAGAAGTCAAACTCTCATTCTTTGCAGATGACATGATATTCTGTGTGGAAAACCCAAAAGACTCCACCCCAAAATTGCTAAAACTCATACAGGAATTCAACAAAGTGTTAGGATATAAAATCAATGCACAGAAATCAGTTGCATTTCTATACACCAACAGCAGGAGAGAAGAAAGAGAAATTAAGGAGTGGATCCCATTTACAATTGCGTAAAAACCATAAGATACCTAGGAATAACCTAATCAAAGATGTAAACAATTTGTATTCAGCAAAGGATAGAATGCTCATGAAAGAAATGGAGGAACACACAGAGAAATGGAAAAACATTCCATGCTCTTGGATTGGAAGACCAAATGCAAGATGAAACTTAAACCAGAAGAGAAGAGAAAAAAGCCCAAACTGATGGCCTGTAAGAGTTGTGAGCCAAATAACGGACTGTCATTTTAGACACTGTGTGGGGTGGTTTGTCCTGTAGCAGAAGTTAACTGCTATCCTTAGCAATGTAGGAATCACCTCTAAAGTATCTCCTACAAGCTTTTGCGTTAAAGAAAAGATTCCAGCTTTCATTTTCTCCATATTTATTTTCATGACTGAGGAGACTCTGTGGGCTCAATAATTAGTTTAGATCAACCTTTAAAGTCTTTAAAATATTAAACACATTAATTGAATTTTCACCATAACAGAATTAAGTCACAAATAAAATTCATGGTCTGTTTTTGAGGTACTGAATTTCATTATGCATCTTTTAAATTGTCAAGAATTTTTTTTTTTTATTTCTAATTTACTTGAACCTAGTGATATTTTCTAGGCTTAAGTGCATCTAATACTTGCATTTTGTTGTTTTTTTTCTTACCCAATGTAACTGATGTCTGAGATTTGCTGAAGTTTTCTGAATCCAGTTTTGATTTTTGTTAACTCTCTCTAGCACTGTTACACCTTAGCTGTGTCAAAAACCCAATAGGCTTGGTGAGGCAGATGTGTGCCGGTCCTACCAGCTCACCCCAGTTTGAAAGACGACTCTTTCATCATTCCTGTCTTCCCGTTATGGCTTAGATGTTCTCAAACTTTGGCTTGCCTCCAGTCTTCTCAGAGCAGCACTCTGAATTATGCCTATGGCATTTGTTTTATCTTTTTTTGGGTAAATGTCCTGATCATTTATTCTACGGCTTTCTGTGATGGACCTAGTGAGGATTCTGCCAGCCATAGTTATCTCTATCAATCCATCAGCTAATTGCACGACCTTTTCTTAAAAATTCAATTTTGCTGCAATCACTGTTCTGCACACTCTGACCCATTATAGTAATGAAAGAAAATTAAAGCACACTCCAAAATATGAAAAAAAGCAAAGAGCAGCAAGATGAAATGAAATGGTTATGTCTATAGCCTGAAATTTAAATGTGGGCAAATTCTTTGTCTGGAGGGAGTTTTTATGTGAAGCTCTTTTAGAATAAATATAAAAGATAAAGACTAGAGTTAAATAGAAGTGTTGAATTGACTCCCCAGACCTGTGCCTTCCACATCATGTTTATGCAATTGTGTTTTTAAGTCAATGTCTTTATTCATCTGAAAATGTCACCCAAGTGCTTTATCCCAGCTACAAAGGAATCACTTTCAGTACTGCTCAGTGGGTTGGCATAAAAGTTTTAATCTCTTTATAGTCATCAGATGAAACTAACTAAAGGGAGGGGTATCTAAAAAATGAAACAGTCTCAATCATTTACCTTTCAATAATTATTTTTTGATGTTAAGAGCATTTAAAATCCATCATCCTTCACCTACAGATTGCAAAAGCCAAAAGTCACACAGGTTATTTACTGACTGGAATACAAAGAAAAGTATCTTATATTGAGCAGAGATGAGAGACTGTTGTCTCTCCCATAGAATTCAAATTATCCCAGAATACTTATTTGTAGGCAAGTGATATTGCACTGAGAGACAAAGAAATAATTTCCAACTCTTACAATTATGGAAATTTGTAATTTTATCTCATGGAGTTAAAATAGAAACAATTTTTAATTAACATATTCTGGGAACCTCATAATGCAACCTCTTGTTGGCAAGAACACATTTAACCTAACTTTATAAAGCATTAACATATTGTTCAATATTACTTCTCCTATGGGAAATCAGCAAAATTTGATGATTACAGAGGAGTGGCCTTGAAGATTGAAGGGTGAACATATCATTTCTAGGGACTCCTATCAAGACTCTGAAAATGTTGTGATAGCAATTAGAAAGTACAGCAAATTAATATCATTAGACCATTTTGGGCCCAGTAAAATTTTATCTTACCTAAATGGTGTATTTTAGAAATTAAATTTTAACCCATCTTTTAAGACTTAAGTATTGTTATACTATGCATGTACGTTTTTATATTTTGCATAACAATTTGTGTGTGTGTGTGTGTGTGTGTGTATACTTATATTTTCTGCAAAATTATAATTGCCATTTTAATACCTCCTGGATAATCTAGTTCAATAACTTACTCAGCACGTGAGAAATGGAATCCACTTAGCTGGGGTGGTTTTCGCAGTCTTCTCTACTGCTTTATTCTTTTTGAGTGGCTCTATTTGCTCATTTTTTCCCATTCACCAAGTACCTTCATCAAGTCTATCTACAGCAGGCTCTGGGGATAAAAAGTAGGCATGTTCTTCTAATCCAGTCAGTTGTTAGATATAAATATTTTTATGAACATTGTTCCCAACTGTAACCTTAAGTTTAAACAAACCAGAAAAACACAACTATACCACCAGTAAAGAATAGAAAGAATATATTTGTTCAGTTTTTTAAATCCCAATATTTAAAAAAAAATTAAAAATCAACCCTAAAGAATGTGACATTTATATTACACAAGTTCCACAGTCTCATTTGTGCATTATTTTAATGATTCATACCAAAATTGCTTGAAAGAGTAAGTTTTCCCAATAAAGTTAAGATTCAGTTTATAGAAGCATATTTATTCCATAAAGTAATGTGGGTTGCTATGATGTAGTCATCCTATGAATGGACCCAGATTTGCCATTTTGAGTAAAACAAGGAAATGCTTCTCTACTGGTTTTATTTAGAGCAAGTAGAAACAGCCATAGGCTTAGGATTCCATTGCCTACATTCTTTCCTGTTAGATATTCAATAAATGTAATTAGATTGATTGACTGACTAAACAGTCTTATTTACTTCATAGAAGGAACTATCACTATAAAAGGAAATCCCCCTTGATAACCAAATCTTCTGAAGGATATCTTCAATGCAAAGAGTAATGAGTATTTCTCTCCAGAGAAAACTGACCTAATACCAGCTTGGTGAAGAGACCTAGCCCTGTGTCCATTAGTGCAAAGTCAATGCTATTGATAATCATCTAATGCTTTTATGCTTTTCAGTAGAGTACTTAAGAAATAAATATTATTGATGAGAACTAAAGGCTGTTAATGTGTTCCTGTAATTAATCTTAATTAATAATACATTAAATATTTTCCTGATTGTGTGCACATACATCATTTAACATTGACTTATGCCAAAGCCATTAGGAAAGATTTAGTGGCATATCATAGCCAGGGCTATTCTTTTATTTATTTTTCTCCTCCCTTCTCAGAAAATGCACCAGTTACCAATAATGATATTGTCATTGATATTAGTGCCCTCGTTTCCAATCAGATACTACATTTGAAACAATTATGAGGTTCCTGTCTCCTTGCAAGAAAAAAGTTTTCAAAATTGTCTTTGTCTCATGTATATAGTTTAGAAAAATAAATATGTATATATACATACATAAACACAATAATGCCTATATATAAATATGTGTATACCTCTATATAAATATGAATATAAATAGAAATGTATGTATGTCTATGTGTATATATATGTGTGGATGTAAGAGACCTCTCTTTTGAACTAATAAGATAACAAATGCAATGAGTTAAACTGCTTAATCAAGTTCATATCTCCAAACCAGCATTAATTTCCAAAATGTGTTACATTCTGTCAAGACTTCTGAGTAGTGTTAATCAGGTGAAAATTAATTGGATGAAAGTGAGGGTGATCTCTCAAGGAACTGGGCAGGAATTGGCATACAATAGGAAGAATCTTCTCTGTGAAATAAATAGAGACTGTGGCGGAATTGAGCAATAATTAACATACGAAAGAGGTCACCAGGGAGGAGGAAAGGAGGAAATAGTTAACACAGAAGAAGCATGTCCCAGTTTGAAGTCACGTGGTCTTATAGGAGTCAATTCCAAGATGTCACTAAAGGTGCAGGAATCCCAATAAACTGGGTCAAGCATTGAAAGTAAGTGTATGTGGACTGATGAGACTGTACTATGAGTGATGTAAATCAAGAGATGCCATGCAGTACTCTTTCCCTTATGCCTAGTTGGACAGGAGAAGGAATTTCATTGCTACTATCTTGTGGCTTCATTTGTTTTGGTATCCTGGGCACTGTGATATCATTCTTAAAACTAGGCTACCCATAAGCAAATTATGTATTCTAATAGAGCCCAAAATTGATTTGATCTATGACATAATAGAATTTGTTGACTGTATCCAAAAATATAGTAGTTAAGAGCACAGATCAGAAATGCCTACCTTTAGATCCAGATTCTATCAATTATTAGTTAATGGTACATTGAGAAGGTAGTATTGCCTCTGTTATCTTCAGTGTCTTTTTATAGAAGATGGAGAAAAAAATTTATCTCAAGTTACTGTGCACATAAGATTTTACCACAGAGCTTAGAATGTATTAAAATCTCAATAAATGGTTGTTATTAGTGATGTAACCCTCTGAGTTATGCCAAGGTTTCAAAGATCACCATTAAAAATACAAGTTAAGATTAAAGAAAAGAAGATTGAATCCTAAAAGAATAGGAGAAAATAATGTGTTGCAAATCAAAGAGAAACATAAGCATGTAATGATGGAGTTCGAAGGCAATAAAACTGAGAAGTAAACTTTTCCTTTTTTAATTAAAATTGCTGTAATGGGATAGAAATAGAATCTGCTTTATAGTGTGGAAAGTTCCTGGTTATAAGACAACTGTGCTATAAAGCATGAATGAAGAGATAGAACACAAATGACCTAAGCCAGATCATTCTGACTGGCAGGGAACAAAAGAATAAGGCAAAATTTTTATGACCTTGTCAATTTCTCTATTGATAACGCAAGAATGGGAAAGGTAGAGATATCTAAAAGCATTTTCAGATGACAAGCAGGGATAAAAATTGTCCAAAGTAGAATAATAATGGAACTAAGACAGAATAAAAACATTTGTCATGGGAAATGGGAATGCTGGGGGGAAAATAGAAACTCAAGAGGAAGGTATAATAATTTATGATAATAGAGATTCTCAATATTTTCTGATTTGTGGTTGAAAAATGAGTAGTGCTGGGTTTTAAAGAATCAGTAGGCCAGTAATATAGGTAGGAAAGATTGGGTTTCAGTAAAAAATGAATTTTGAAATGTGGGGTTTTTTTTCCCCTTGGAATAAACTATTTGTATATGTCTCCAATGAATTCATTTTGATTAAAAGAAAGTTCAATAGATAATACATTGGATAAAAATGTGAAAAAAATATTTCTGGTCCTGATAAAAAAGGACCATCTCACAGATTTGCTACTATAACTTTATAATGAAAAGTCCATAGTAGTATTTTTCTGATATTTTTACTGTGAGTTTGTTCCCATACAGATTAGACAATGCATAGATCAGTATTGCTCAGACAAAGCTGGCTACAACATAGAAATCCCCACCAACATTGAGATAATAGCAGAGCCCTCTCTGGGAGAGTTGGCCCACCAGCTGCAGATCAGTTTTTCTCTGAAAGAACCATAGCTGCTTCTTGGGATGAAGGCAGTTCTTCTACAGAGGATATTCAATCAAATGTCTCCCTAATACTACCTTGTTTCTATTTTACTTGTAGAGTAAATCTTACTGGATTGTAACTTTGGAGGACTTGACTAATGGGAGGCAGGGAGTTGGGTTGAGTTGGCCTAGAGAGCCAGAGCTCTGGAGTCAGGCCTGTCATTGACTCTGATTTCTACCATTATCTTATCGGATGCCTCATGGTTAGTTCATTTTTCTGAGCCTTGGTTTTCCTATTCCTAAAATGGTGTATAACACTTGCATCAAATAGTTATGGGAACAGGGCCTGGGAGAGAAAATACTCAATAAACGTTGACTATTGTAATTATTACCTCAGTGGAACATCCCAGAAAATTCTCTACAACTTTGTAGTGGCATGTAAGGTATGGTGACAGTAAGGTGCTACTGAGGCATCATTCTCTTTAACTTCCTTCACAAGTCTGAGCTCACTGGTTTTAGAACATAGTTCATCAAGTGAAGGTTCCATTATATTCTAGAATCATAAGCATCTGGTAGAGACTTCAAGGGGCCACCAAGTTTATTTTCTTGTAGATTGTACTTAATTTATCCGAGACAAAGTTTCCCTTGGGGAACTTTTAAAGCCAGAGACAAAATTTCTTTCAGATGACATTGTGCCTAGTTGTATCTAAAGGGACTTTGAGCATGACACCACTGAGAGAGTAGAGATTTTTCAACAGACTGGGCTAAACCCTGCTTACTTTGTAACTTTGGCTAAGGTTCACTTAGATGAGCTTCAGTTTTCTTAAATGAAATGAAATCATAATCCATATGGGTTTTGTGAAAATTGTTTAAGAAATAGTACAATGCCCATGCAGAACTTCTAGCCAGTCACTGCCATGTCTCAGGAGAGGAGGAAAATCAAAGACCTCTGTTTAATCAATGCCTGTTTGCCACTTCTGTATCGCTACCTCATATAACTCCTTCAAACCACTTAAACACTTCTCAGATCGTGTAGTTTGTCTTCTTTTGCAGAAATCCTTTGGGCTTTATTAAATTTTCTTATGAGTTCTAGGTATTTATTCATTCAACCAGCATCCATTAACCTACTACTACATCCTAGGCCCTGTTCTAAATGCTAGAGGTACTACAATGAACAGGACACACACAGTTCCAGCTCTCACAGAGCTTAAATTTAGTAGGGTAGATAAATAATTTACAAGAAAAAAGACAATTTCAAAGACAAAGTGCTGTGAAGAAAATAAAATAGGGTATGAGCAACTGGAGGAGATGGCTGCTTTATATTAAGTGATTCAGAAACGTCTCCCAAAGTGTCATCCGAAGAAGTGACTAGGTGCAACAAGGTAAGAAAGAGAATGGTCAAGGCAGAAGACATAGTGCAAAACCATAAGACCAGGATGGGCTTGATGTTTCTGAGGAAAAGAAAGAAAAACTGTATTAGTCTCCTCAGCCTGGCATGACAGAATACTACAGACTCTGAGGCTTAAATACCAGAAATCTATTTTGTCACTGCTCTGGAGGCTGAGTCATCCAAGATAAAGGTGTCCGTGAGATAGGATTTATGCTGAGACCTCTTCTCTTGGCTTGTGAGTGGTCAGTATCTCACTGGGTGCTCCCAGGACCTCTTCTTTGTGGGTGTGTGGAGATCTCTCTTTTTCTCTTTTTGCCTCTTCCTATATGGCCACTGATCCTATTGGATTAGGGACCCACACTTATCACCTTATTTAACCTTAATTACATCCTAAGGGCCCTAGCTTCAGATAGAGTCCTATCGAGAGTTAGAGTTTCAACGTATAAAA